AGAGGAGGCGCGGTCCGGGTCGAAGTTGCAGGGTTCTGCAGCCCTCGAGCCTGTAAAGCCTGATCTGTTGCCTACATAGACCCCTAAATTAGGGTTTTGGGGTTTAGGGCTTAAGGGTTTAGGGCCTAAATTAAGTCCCTAGAGACCCTAATCACTACACCCCGAAATCTTGAACTCCAAATCGGGGAGAGGAGATGGGGGGGCGGAAACATGGGGGGTTCTACATGGAGCTTGGAATTGCATAAACCTTGCCGTACACCTCCCAACGTGCAGAAATTAACCTGTCAATGGTTCTGGTAGTATTAGCCCGGGACAATAGCTTCGAAAGGCTTGGCAGGTAGACTTAAACTCATATCGTTTGGAGTAGTAGATGGTGCAAAGACAAATCTTAACAGACACCTCAAATGGGCGACTTGCCCCTAAACCCCAAACCCCAAACCCCAAACCCTCCCAACCCTAGCCCAAGGGCCAGGGCAACCCGGCACTTAAAACCCTGAACTCTGAAGCCGGACGCCAGACCGTGGGAAACGCCCGGAGCCGAGACCCATTTGAGCATCCACGAAAAGATCAGAAAGCCCTCCGTGACCACGAGTGCCGGACAAAAACGATAGACAGCCCTGCAAAACCGAAATCTGGTATAGTGCTTAGGGATTTAGAACCCTTGAACAGTTGTTGTTTAACTCAGGCCTCCAGATGGCAAGGGGAAGGGCAAAGGAAAGGAGAAGAAGGCCGCTTCACCAGAATGCCTTGAAAGTTGGGATTGAGGGTTTTTGGAGTTTGAGAATGCCCTCAAAGGGTGTGAGTGTGGGGTTTAGAGATGTTTAGAGTTTAGGGTTGGGTCTTGGCTCCATAGATGTCCCCGGCGAGTCGCTGCAATCAGAAATCTGCAGCACGAGACTTCAGGCTCCTTCAAGCTGGCATGGTGTAGGACTGGGAGTTTAGGGTTTAGGGTTTAGGGGTTTAGGGTTTAGGGTTCAGAGAGGTACTGAAGGGGCCTTAATAATTAGAATAGGGTTTTGGAGCCCATTAGACTATAATCAGGAGCCCCCAACATAGCATTGGTAATTACTAAGACCCCTACATTAAAGCGTAGGACGAACTGAAAAGCTGGCTGCAACACGTGTTCAAAAGTCAGCGGTCGGATTTGCCAGGCTGCCTCTCTAGAAGCAGACTCAAGTTAGGGTTTATAGGGTTTAGGTTTTAGGGTTTAGGGTTTAGAGTTTAAGGTTTAAGGACCCTAAACCCTAAACCCTAATAATGGGGTTAGGGCTCGGTGTTCCGATCACAAGACCTGCAAGCCCTAACACCAGACTGGCTGACCGACTCACCTCTAAGTCTCTCTACATCACAGCTATCAGGCTCCTCCCCCCATAATGCGATGTGTTACAGAGGCCTAGTCTTTTGGGGTTTTGGTGCGTTGGGTGTATAGGGTCTAGGATCTAGGCCTTTTCAAGCACCTACAACAGAAAGTGGATTTAGGGGAAAGTATGAAAAACAACCCTAAACCCTAAACCCTAAACCCTGAAAAACTTCTGTATACTGTATACTCGTGTCATGACAAAATCCTCAAACCCGGTGTCTCGGCAGTCCCATTGGGGTGAGCTCTCGACCTCCGTGTCGTGACAAGGGGGCCCCTAATATGGCACTTAAAGCAGAGACCCCAGAGTTTGGAGGCATCAGGCCTGCAGGCTTTGCGGTTTAGGGTTTAGGGTTTAGGGTTCAGGGTTTGGGGTTTAGGGTTTAGGATTTAGGATTTAGGGTTCAGGGTTAAGGGTTTAGGGCTTAGGGTTTGGGGTGAAGCCGGACATTGCGACGGATCTGAAGCAGACAAGCCCGCAGCCCCAAAGCCGAAGCCGCGCCAGAAAACCTCCTACTGGATCTCCTGGGATTCGCTGGAGAGGCCGGCAGTGACATTCCTAACAAGGGTTTAGGGTTTAGGGTTTAGGGTTCCTCCAAATGTCAAACGAAGGCTGCTACGAAGGATCTAGGAAGAATTAAAGTTATAGGGGCCCCAGACGTTGTGGGGTTTACTGCATCAATCATCATAGAGACCTTTTAGGGGATACCTTGCATTTATTCAGACGCCATACCAGAGTTTCTGGGGCTGAGGGTTTCTAAGGCTTAGGGTTTCTAAGGTTCTGGGAGTTTAGAGCTCCAGGGATCCCGGGCTCAAGGGGTTTAGGGCTTAGGATATAAAGTTTAGGGCTTAGGGTTTAGGGTTTGAGATTGAGGGTTTAGGATGTGGAGTGAGTGTGTACCGGACCTGGAACCCTGGACATTTAGAGGTTCAAGTTGTTGTTTGCTGTAGTGAGACCGATGCTACAAGTACAACTACAAGCAACCCTACTTGCATCAGTTTTGTTCGCCAAAGGCTTTCTTTCCACTCATCCGTGACTGCTGCTAGTATTGATGATTTTGCGTTCATTACAATTAGAAAAAGTTGCATCACATCGCTCTTATTGTTGAATCTTTGTCCTGCGTTTTTCCGCGGTTATCCTTCATGCTACCATGCTGAATCTGACTAATGGCCCCTCATTCGTGGTTGTGGATGATCGAGATGTCACTACTACTACTACTACTACT